TGAGTGAATATAATTTAATTACCGTAATAGAGTTTGTGGACAAAGAAATATATCTAGCTTATATACTGTTTCAATCTTATACACAATGAACAATCCAAATGGTTAGTGTTTTATGGTTACAAATCGAATGTACACGATAATCTCGTCCACATGGCCATGTTCTTGTAGAATCATCTGACCATGTTCACTTGACCACCAACGTTCACCTGTGTGATCACTAAAATATGGTTGGTGGTGCATCATAAGTTACAAATCACTAAAAAGCTACTGTCACACGTAAAAGACATGCTCAACTGTTGATCCCCCTCTATACTCGAGCTTTAACAAACAGCAAATCATACTTTTTCAGACATGCTCTTATCCACAGATCCTGACCACCCAATACAACCTCCTTTATATACAAACCATGGTCAATAGTGCACTAACAGTAAGAAAAAAGTATATATAAACAAAAATTGACCTTTTCAGACAAACTCTTATCCACAGGTTCTTGACCACCCAATCGAGCCTGCTTTATATACAAACCATGGTCAATATTGCACTAAAAGTAAGAAAATAGTTTATGTAAACAAAAAATCATAATGTTCAGAATGTTCTTGACGTCTGACCTCCTCATTATCCTTCTCCAAACCATTTACCAGTCCAGAATGTTCCTGCAATTTGAGGATTAGTAGGATAATTAAAACAAAACAAATTAAAGGATTAAAACAGAGAATAAAATAACCTTCAAATCTACTTCCATGGGATCCTCCACTTCATATTCATATGTTACCTACATCATGGTTTTTGTGGAACTTTACAAGCAGAATACTTCACAACCAAATGATGAGCCTATTTACAAGCAAAATAGTTGAAACCACCTAATTCCTTAGATCCACAATCACCTACACCTACAACGACCAAATCCAAATAAATCTCCACAAAAAAAAACAAAATATGTATATCGATTGAACAAAATCAACATTTATATTATACATACCTTCAATTGCAGTCGATCTGAAAACAGATGGAATGAAAGAAAAAACGAGAGAGATAATAAATTAGTTCCTCTGAGAAAGGAACGCCGAGATTATGGAGAAATTGATGAAAGGAACGCCGAGAATATAGAGAATCCGAGCAAGGAATGAAACGGTTTGAAAGAAAAAGGGGTTTTCCTTCACTACCGAGAGACATATCTAGAGTTTCGATCTTCTGTCAATAATAAAAAAGAAGAGTGAAAACTTGAATATAATATCTTTAGGAAATTGTAAAAGACACTAACCATGGTTAAATAAGGGTTTTTATCTAAGTTACTTTTTCATTTTTAGGTTGGTGAAAATAAGAGTAATTTTGTCTTTTATCAACAAGAAAGTGTGTTGGTGTGAAAAAGTGTCTCTTTTGTATAATAGTTTCAAGAAAGTGTGTATAACAAATACAAACCCTAGATTGTATACAGAAATGCGTATAGACAGCGAAAGCAGATAATCAAATCCTCATAAAACTTCGTCGCAGAAAACCAAAAAATCTTTTACTAGAAAAAGTACGATCCAGAAGGATAAATTCATCCAATCATAATAAACAATATTAATGGGACCCATTAACCTACACGACACAAACACAATTTACATTTTCTATTGATTGTTTATTTACACCTACTATCCAGTATCTCAACTATACACATTATCTTTCTTTTTTTTTACATTTCTCTCATATTAATCTAATGTTCAAATGTGTGAGTCAATAGGGGTGGAATTATTATCCGGGATCCGAGATAATTATTATTCGATAATAGTCAAGATTAGTAGATATAGAATTATATTATTATTACCATGATGAGTTTGTTAGTTACCTTTGTCTCAATAAAAAAGAAGAATCATCAACTATTTTGTTTAGGGGTGGAC